CACACACACACACACACACAAAGCCTTTTCTGACAACACTGCATAGCCTTGCCATTTAATGCTGCATTTAGTAAGCTTTAACCACTAGGGGGCAGATCATTAAAAATATACACAGCATAATTTGATATATCAGTTTATCCAGTTGTTTTGGCAAATATGTTAACAAATAACTCCCCTCTCACACAAGGAGCAGATACAGAGCGTTAACATTGGATTCCCTCGAGCCACCTGATCAATATTAACTAATGTTTCTGGTTTGATTTAACAAACTCCTCAAAATATATTCCTAAATGTTCCTCTATGATATGATTACTGGATTTGAAACTGTATTTCGTTGCTTTGTACTTGTGACATGTGCAATGACAATAAAGTTGAATCTAATCTAATCTAATCTAGTTTTGAATGTATTGGTTTGAATGTAGCAAGGCTGAAAGCTGCTGTGAGCTAAACTCAGAGCGTTGATTCTCAGTAGGATCCACAGTATCAGTGCAGCGTTCACATGATAGCAAATTCCTTAATGCAATTTTAATGTGGTAGCAGCTCCTCAAATTGTCCTCGTTTGATTTACTGCAGCTCACTGCCGTCCGAGATTTATCAGCACTAATTACCTTGAAAAGGCTGCGCACAATGTGCCAGATAACAGAGAATAACAGTGACAACAGAGGAAAACAACAACAACAACAATGTGTCTGGGGTCGTGATTTGGGAGCATCAAAAACGCACATGAGGCAGTGAAGCCACTGGTTGGTTTTTGTCATCTCAGAAGCTAATTTCATTTTAAGCTTAATGCAGTTCTCACGCAAGCATCCTGAGACTGATACTGACAGCGTGTTGCACTCACGCAGATGGTTAACATGCTTTTGCTTTAGGCAGTGTTTTGTGTTAAACGTTGATCAAGGCTTATTTAAGGTTATATGTTTCTGTAAAATTAAATCAGAGGTCCACTGTCTTTCTATAAATGGCTGACACTGTTGGTCAGTCTTTTCTCCATTTCCCAGTTATTCTTATTCAAGCAAAATATGAGAATGTAGTTAAAACCAGATGAATGAAAAACACACTAGATACTATAGATAGAGAGCAATATATCTCAACACCGTACAAAATATGCTACCGTTTAATTTATCCACGAGATAAGATAAAGAAGAGTAGAGGCTCCCACTGTTACTATAATTAGCACCACTCTTATTGTTTCCACCAGTGGTAATAGTTTTATGAGTCTACATGCACCTGGGTTGTGTGCAGTGAACTCACCAGGACAGCAGGAGTCAGTGTAGAGGTACTCAAGGAAGGAGAGGAAGGTATCCGAGGACACTCCGTGGATGGGCACCACTCGGCTCCGGGCCTCTGCGTACTTTCCACTGAACATTGCCGCCATGACATCGCAGCGTGCCACCAGCACCGCCCGGTGGGCCGGCAACACGCTCCCTGGGACACAAAATAAAGGTTTAGAAGTGTGATGCCAGAAAGTATAAAAGATTCATAATCGATATAATGATTATTGAATGATAGTAACACAATGTACCTCTGTGGTTCTGGACAATCACATAAGTTCAGAGACCATAATTGACTTTGGCTTGTGATAAGTGATAAAATGATCCCCAACAATATGTGACTCAAAGGTTTGAATGAAAATTGATATATTAGATATTGAGGAAAAATCAATGGACATTGAAATAAAGGGTGGAGGTAAAGGATGTCTCATAGGCTGGATTGGGAGGATGCATGACAGGAGACTCAGTGTGGGGGGTCCCGTCACAGGCATCATTTCACCTGTGCTTCCAGGCAATGCCTACAACTAGACGTGCAAGAGGTATACACCAAACTGGATATTTATAGGGATGTGTGTGAGAAGAGAGAAGAAGGCTGAATAGATGTGGGTGGGGATGCGGGATGAAGGGATGAGGGTGAGGATGAAGGAATGCGTGGGGAGTAAGGGAAAAGGATGAAGAGATGAGGGTAGCTTTGCCCCTTTTCTTCTTTTTCTTTTTTCCCAGTGAAGCGAAAGGGTGGGTCAAAGAATCTGAGACAAACTGAGGGTGATGGGTTGACTGGGTATATGAAGGCTCCACAGGTGATTAGAGGTGTGGTTGAAGTGTGGCCCTGCTTCCGAACCTAAATGAACTACTTCATAAGAAATCAGTGACATGTGGTCACAGGTCCGCTTTCATTAAATGCCATTAACAGCCACTGACAGCTCTCATCACACATCATCAGCAGGTTATTAGGGGGAAATTCCCCAAAAATTCTTGTAGAAATTGCCTCTAACCTCCAGGAGCTGAACTCTCAGTTCGAAGGTGCAAGGACAAGTTAAGCTCACTGCACTTTTTATGAGATAAATATAGATTAGTAGAGGCATGTGGTCATTATGTCTGTATTTCTCTGTGCAGCTCATGGAAGCTTTTTCCAGAGATCAAGTTCAAGAGGTAGAGAAGGCAGCCTGCCATTTTTTATATCCTAATTTGTTTCCAAGTGGTTGACCACGCCCGGGACTGAGATCACGATTCAATCACAGCCACTGAAGTGTGACCTTCCTCCGCTGTGTGACGGTGCATGTATTTGTCAGGGTGTGTGCGTCTAATAGATCAACACGATCCCCCCACCTTGCACCATGAAGATGACATCTGAGTAGAGAGGAGAATTGAAGAGGTTGACAAGCGTCTGGGGGCCGAGCTGAGCTGCCCGTGCACTCGGGGTATCCCTGGGGCCCTGCTCACACACACACACACACACACACACACACACACACACACACACAAACCCAAACAGTGCAGAGGCAGCCAAAAAGAAACAAACAGAGTTAACATTCCTGTGCTGGATGTCAGGTACTAGTTACGAGCCCAATTACAATTCAGTGCATCTCTCCCACCTTGTCTGTGGAATACAAATGGCTTCTCTGCCAGTCTTGCTTAGTGCTACCAAAACATACTTGAACTGCAATGCCAAGAACGACACGATGAAACTGGCAAACACTGAGAACAGACTGAGAAACAGACAGTCGTCCAAGCTGACTATTTATTAACACATTACTGCTCATTTGAAGCCATTTAAAGGCAGAATATTCGAATGTATTTACATTACACTGCAGGTGAAATCACAAGTGCATGAAAAGCAGATGCTTTGTCAAGTTCTCAGGAGCCTCTCTCCACAGTTAAGTGCCGTCAAAGGCTCCCATTACCATTACGTGACCTTTCTCAGTCAACTGAAGCACAAAGAACTCCACATTCTCAGCTGAGCTCAGTCTTCAGTTGAGGCAGCAACAGCCTCTTTTTATTTCGTAAAACAATGGAGAGCTTATGAGGAGCACATTTCTGCTGGTCTGCTGGAGTCAGTCGTCCTGGAGCTGTTTACAGAGGATGAGATCAAACCATGGCAGGCCTTCAGGGTGTCTCCTCACATTAAAGTGGCCCTATCGTGACATCTCGGTGCGCTGCCTCAGGTGAAGACCTACTTCTGTACAAATGGGTGGGTGCAGCATGCACGGTGCCAAAGGCTTGTCAGACACAACTGTGTCATATCTCCTTGTCTCTCTAAGTGTTCAGGGCAACTTTCTATTACGCAGAGCACCGCCTCATATAATTCTAAATCCTGACAAGAGATTACAAGTGTGATGTTGCAGTTCTAACAAGCTGTGGTTTTTTGTGTGTTTTCTGGTGAGTGAATGCTCGACTGTGGCACATTATATTTGTTATTTTTAAATCTTTATTAGATCGAATTACCTGCATGATTTTAATAAATGCAATGTGTTGTTTTTAATCTTTATGCATCAACCTAGACTCGCATCATATTTTGCTCAATACAAATACAAGTATGGCTTCCTATTCTATTCTATAATGTTAGATTTAATGACTGATGTCCAGTGTAAACTCCTATACAGACCTTGTGTTGTGCTTTAACTCCTTTAAGAGTATGTTTTTTTTATTTTGTGCTAATTCCCACAGTGTGTGAGAGGTGATCACAGCCACTGAGTAAATATGCTAATTAAAGCCTCATTATTACTGTTTCTAAACAAGGTCCTGCTAATTAAGGCCCTGTTACACTGCAACTGCAAAAACATGTGTTTATACCTTCAAAGAACAAGTTTGACACATTAAAGGTATTTAACCTCTTTCGCTGGAGTGAGCTGTTATAGCATACGATATATAAAAGATATACCACTAAAGAAAGACAAGAGAGGAAGACCTCACCCTTTCTCTCCCGATAAGAGATCGAATGCGCTCCATAAGCTGAGCAACAGCCAGCGAGCTCTTAAGCTTCTCTTCCAGGGCCTCTTGGAGGTGCTCCCACTCCCACGCTCCTGCAAAACATCCATAAACACACATTCTGTGGACCCACAATAGGTTCGTTTACAGAAACACAGAAACAAACTTTTCTCGAGCTGGCACCGTGCAAAGCCCACCCACGTACCTGTACACCCAATGTACCCAATTCACAGCCTGGTTTTGACAGAGTTGGCTTGTTTTAAAATGTGTCTCTTTATGTAATGTATAGTGGTTATGGGAGTTACATCCACTCTGAACAGCAACCAGTGATCTTTGCAACTCTGAATCCAAGTCAGTTGTTTAATAGTTTTATGCAGGTTTAATCTTTTTCCATTTAGGTGCTGGCTACAAATAAAGCCTTAACCCAATAAATGTATTTTTAAGCTTCAAATGATATTTAAAGCTTTGATACAATTTAAATTTAGTATTAATAATAGTCACAAGTGTAATGAAATAGTTTGACTTTTAAACAACAATAGTACAAATACAGACTACAGCCATAGACTGTACATAAATATGGACCAAGCTTTTCCACTTCCTCCCACAATCAAGGCAAAATATCACGGATACGAACGCTGCCATCTTCTGCATTTGAAAGCAGAATTTATGACCTGCACTGCAGCCAGCCTATTGAAATGTTTTGGCTTCCTTTTTTGGGAGCAGTCATGTCATCCATCTTTACATACAGTCCACGGTTCACACAGATATTAGTGATACTGTATTCAGGCACAGCACTGCCAGCATTCTAACATGCTCACAGTTGTGTAGTGAGTAATGTTTTCACCATCTTAGTTTAGTATGTTAGCATGCTAATATTTGATCATTGGAACTGAGCAGCGATTGCAACATTTCAGCAAATTGTTTTTCATGCTTTGCCATAAAAAGCAAAACATTTCTTTGAATGAAATTTTGGACTAATGATGCATGACGCCTCCAAAATCTGCTGTTGAGACAATTCAGTAAAAACCACAAATATGAGTCGGTAGAATCATGGCCGACTGACTTTGCCCTCCCTGTGGTCACATGGGAAACAGAAATTTACTGTCATACACATTAAATTAATGTCATTAAAACTGTGACATATAATGAGAGTTTAATCTTGTGAAGCTATTACAACACAGACATGTCTAAGTAATATTGCATTTCAGTGTGTGTATATAGTTATACTCCTTTCCAAAGGCTGCACAGCACTCTGCAGCTTGATTGGGGGGGCGCGCTCTCTGTCTCACTGGGACATAACCAGACTGTCGAGGGAAGGAGGGAGCTGGACTGGGCAGGATTTAGCTCATCATTAGTTCATTATGACAGTATTTTGTGTGATAGAGGGATTATACCTCAGCACACGGTCGCAGATAATGACACCGCACTGCGCAGGCACCTTCTCTGCGGGGTGAGAGATTAGCTGAGGAGCTGTGGTGCTGACACATGATGCAGCCAGGAACCAAAGAAACAGCACTGAAAGGGCTGGTGCATGTTTTCATAGGCATATAATCAGAAAACACAATATATATATATAAGCTTCCATGACATAATATTACAAAAATGCTGTGAGTTTGAGTGTTGATGTATTTCCTCTTATCCACCTACACAAACACACTTAGGAACAATTTGTACAGATTAACACTCATTCCCCCAACGTTGTTCCTTAATCTCATCCAAAACCGCTGCATTCCTGACTCTTAATCTCATCCAAACTTAAACCAAATGCCAACAAAGACAGAAACCAGCGACGCCTGTGCTGAACTCAGCTGCAAGGAAACTAGAAGTGAGACAAGAAAAACAACTGGTCAGTGGTAGAAAACATGACCCCAAATCAGGCCTGGATGACCATAAGAGACACAATGATTCATCTGTGTCGCATACATGTAACACACGTGGTAAACATGCACATACACACATTAGCAACCAAGTGACAAATTCAATAATTCAGTAGAAAGCTACACAAGGAGACAAAGTCCCACAGTGTTAACATCACACAAGCAAAGTCACAGCCTGTGACTGTGGCCACACACACACACACACACACACACACACACACACACACACACACACGTTTACTTCTATCTTAGTGAGGACACTCATTTACATACTACATTCCCTACTCCCTTACCATAACCTTAACCATAACAACTAAATGCCTAACCCTTAACCTAACCTAACCTAACCCTAGCTCTAACCCTAAAACCAAGTCCTAACCCCCAAACAGTCTATTAAAAGTCAGAAAGTGAAGATAATGTCCTCACTTTCCCAAAATGTCCTCACTCCATAGGTTGTAGGCTGAAACTGGTCCTCACAAGGATCTCACTCACACACACACACATACACACACACAGAGCTATCCTTTGCATCCTTTTGAGGTTTACTGGTCCTGACAAGGTCAGTGTTTACGCTGGACAGGTCCTTAATAGGTGACAACAAGTACACAAACACACACATGCATTACCATTATGCTCTAATGCCCAGCTCTCCCACCACCCAAACACCCTCACCACAGTAGCATCACCTTATACTCCACCCCTCCTTTCTCTCACCTTCACATCCCACCACCTTCGTTTTTCACCCTGTTTACGATTTTACACTCCTTACTTTTCCATCTTCCACACGAGCGTGAAAATACGCACTGCTCTCTCCATTCGTATTCTTATTCATGGAGTCACTCACAGAGACTTGGTCTAACCGTATAATCATCTTCCCTTCTCCGCTCACTCTTCACAAGCAGCACATGCACACTCAGCTTATGTGTGTGTGCACACGTTTGTTCATTCAGGCCATCAGTGCTGCTCACATACATGTAAAGAGGCAGGCATGAATCAGATGTTGGCACAGCTTTTTGCCACGAGGACTCACGCACAACATGCAGCCTGGGATGAAGTGCTGGCATGCACAGGCGCTGTGAGCGAACATACAGCAGTCTAAGCCCCAGACTTAGACAAATGAAGATTTTTACTGCAGCACTAAAGTCGCAGAGAATATCACACCACAGTTTAACTCACGTAAATGATGGGAGAACATTTTGCGTGAAAGTGCCACGATTGGAATTTGCAAATGTTCTTGTTGTTATGATCCTTGTTAAGCCAGGTTAATATATGATACAATTATTTTTACAGGGCAGTTTTATCCTGTCCTTTATTTGTTGTTGTTAATATGAGGCTTGTGCAACGGACTTCAGAGACAGATTCTATCGATAGCCATCAGAGTGATGGAGACTCCGTTTCTGCAGAGACGTCGCTCAGTGCACATAACCATTTGTTACTTATGTCCAATAGAGTTTAATAGAGCCGAGATGGGGAAGATAAAGGACACCCGATCGGTCCAAGGCATCCAAGTACAAATGTGGGTTAAGAAAAGCAGCGTGAGATCAGACTATTACACAATGAACGACCAGGCTCTAGATTAGAAATACTACTGTTGCTTACTATCAAGCACTTTCAATTTGACTGATCTCTATTCCTCAGCGTAATGGAATATTGGACCAGACCCAACGGCAAGAAAAGTGCCTACTGCTGCCAGCAGACATTAATCATCACATCTCAACTATTGGAAAAATCGAGCTCCTCCTTTCGAGGGAGTAGTGTTCCTGAGCTGTGGATGTCAGCCCGGCTCTGGTAGCTGTATTTAAATCTCAGTAGTAATGTGTGGAAAGTGTCCAATATAGCAATAGCACCAGCATTTAGTATCACACACAACTATTTAATTTCCCAGAAACCATGTAGAGTGATGGGAGTGAACTGATAGAGCCATCCTTGCTGAGTCCAGATTTATCAGGACAGACTGTGTGTTGGCTGTTTTTGTTATTTGATCTCCACTTTCTATTTGGCTCCTCCTGTGCAACTGATCCTGATGCCAGAGTGTCAGTTTGGGCAACGTCACTCTGGTGGAACCAATCTCTGTGGCAGCCCTGCTGCTGTGATTTACGTTGATGTAGGAATAATTGAATCACCTTCGCTTAACTTCACTCCACCAACTGGAGACACCATGTTTTTTACATTGCAGATTTGGCACATTGATTAATGAGAGCACATACATCCATCAAGGCTCAATAGTCCACTTATGAAACCACATTTGAATTCACTAAATCTAGATTTTTCTCTGGATCTGCACCAAATTAAAGTTGGTTTATGACCAAATACCTACAGAACTACAGACATTACTGCCAGTCTCACCTCCCCCCTTTGTGGTTGTTGGTAATTCTAAAAGTTGACATGCCATCCATCTATTGTCTATAGTGCTTATCCTTTGAGGCTTGTGGGGGGAGCTGGAGCCAATCCCAGTCGAGGCAGTTTACAGGGGGACAGGTCCCCAGTCCATCTCAACATATAGAGACAAACAACCACTCGCTCTCACACCTACAGTCAATTAAGAGTCTCTGCAGGAAACTGGACTACCTGGAGAAAACCCACAGAGAAGTTCGAACTGGGAACCTTTTTGCTAAGAGGTGATAACTCTAACCACTGGACCACATGCTCAACAGTGTAAATATTATACAGATGATACCATAAATCCACATATTTAGACTGCGAATAGAAAAGTAGGTAAACTTTACAATGGATGAGTGTAGACTTGCTGTTTTTACCTCTGTAAATAAACATGAGTGTCTCCCACAAGCACATACACAGGAGGGGGTCCTTCACCACCAGCCGGGAGAGTCGTCCCGTCAGGTGCCCCTCTGATCGTGGCATGTCATCAATAATCCCCCCATCCCAGGTGGAGAGCAGTGAGTGGGGGCCTCCATCCCGCTCTCTGCAAACACATCGTGACTGTGGGCGTTCCCTGTGCAACCAGAGATGAAATTCAAATTGAAAATAAAAAATGAGTTTGTTTGAAGTGTTTAACTCCAGCTGGCATCTGCAGGCTCAGGTGGTGAAATAGCTTATTAAGCTCCATCCCGTGGACTTGCTGCTAATATCTCTCCTACCTGGTCTTAGGCCCCAGGAGCAGCTGTCTGAAGTAGGGGCTGACAGCACACAGCACAGCCGCGTGTGCCCAACCCAGTTCTTTCCCGGATTCCCCGGCATAGAAAGCCACGTCGGCGAACTGAACGCCACGCTCCAACAACCACTGCATGTCCTGGGAGAAGCTGGACTCCTCCACACGGATGGGAGGAAGACGAGCTGGACAGAGGGAGCAAGATGGTGAAACGGTGTGAGAAAGACTAGTAGGATGAGTATATAAAGTTTTCAAAGCACCCTAGATGTGTTGTAATTTACATTTGCAGCAGACTCATCTACCTTAATCCATCTTTTTTCAACAACAATGACGTTTGACAACAGAAAGAAATGGGGTTTGTATGTGGAGAAAGTCATTTTAACTGCAAAAATGTCTTGAGGTGTTTTTGTCAAGACATCATTGCAAAGAGATGTTACTTAAAGGTTCAGTGTGTAAGATTTAAGTGAGAGGGATTTATTGACAGAAATTGAATATAAAATAATCCTAGTGATGTTTTCCCTTGCGTGTTTCATCTAAATTATACAAATTGTGGTTTTCTTCACCCTTGAATGGGCCCTTTATATTTAAATACTTTATATTTACATCAGGTGTGGGTCTTCTCCATGGAGGTTGCCATGTTTTTTACAGTAGTTCAAACTGCACAAACTAAAAACCTTTTGAGTTTTTATGACTGAAGGTTAGCACAGGTTCTCTTTCATGTTTGGAAGAGGGGAGGTGAGGTGAGGGGTGTTCAGCTGCAACATGAAACTTCACCACTAGATGTCACTAAATTCTACACACTGTACCTTTAAGTTAGAGAAAATGCTGCCAGATATATTTGTCTTTGCACTAACAGCAGAACTGCAGAGATATGAGCTTAGCTGGATTCTGTTCCACTGAAGAAATGTAAAAATCTTCACGTCGACAGAGGATTTATTTCTGCTTCTTTTGATCTTGGGGAACTGACGCCAAAAAGTTGACGTTTAGTCAGCAAGCCACAAAATTAACCCAGCTTGTTTTGAATAAGGTTAGTGTTTAAGGAAGAAAAATAAAATACATCATCAGAGAGAAATGATTTGCAGAAAAATGAGCAGTGAAGCCACAAGACAACACGGTAGTGATAGAACTACAAACTGGAAAAGCTGTCTACAGAAACAAGCCATAAATAAAAACTTCATGGAAAAACAAAAAGAGTAAAGACAAAAAAAGATGACGCTGAGTGATGCATCTATTCATAAATTCAGTTAAATAAAAATGCGGAAAAAGCACCCACAGGAAAGTGAAGAAAGTGAGGGGGAGGTGTCTCCACAAAACATTTTCCTATTATATCCTCATTCATGCCTAACACACTCTGCCTCTGTGTACCTCATCTTCTTTTTTATGGTTGTTCAGATCTGACCATGAACACAGCTCTGCTTCCTGATCACAGCTTGTCATATTTAAAGCACACTTCACCAGAAGCAGGGGTCAGTAATTAATTAATTCTACAGCACTCACTGCCTTTTTGGCAGAACTCAAATCTGTCAGTCATTGCATCAGATTGACACAAACACACACACACACAAACACACACACACACACACACACACACACAGCAGAGTGCCCAATTCAATATTTAACACCAGTTTGTGTTTAATTTTCTCAGGTGTTTTATTCTTAAAAAATAACATGGAAAATTGGCACTAGTGGTCGTACCAGTTGTTGTAAAGCAAGAGACAGTACTCCCTCCTTTTCAAAATAAAAAGCGATTCTACATGATCCGTCTGTGGTGTCTGCTCTGTTATTTGGGGCAGTACAGTGGTTAGCATTGTTACTGGTTTGAATCCCAGGTCACAAAGGGGCTTTCTCTGTCCACCTATCCCCCAGTGTCAGCTGGGATTGGCTCCAGTCCCCCGCTACATTCAAATGATAAGCAGTATGGACATCTTACCATTATCTATATAAATCCCAGCTGACACTGGGCGTGTGGTGGGGTTCACCCTGGACTTGTGCCAGTGTATCACAGGGCAAACATACACAGACAAACAACCATTCACATTTACACTTACTGAAATTCACCAAATCATTTATTTCCATTGTACAATTTCAAATTGGGCACACAGAAAGCTTTCAGTCTGTGGCAGCATTTGGCGGTCAGACACGGCCGTCAACTCCAGATTCAATCAGATTGTCCTTCAGTCAATTAGGAGGGAGAGTGTGACAGTCTTAAAAACATTACGACAAAGTAAAAGCAGCAGAATTGCAACAGTCTTCTCTTGACTCTTGTTTCTTAAGATTTGCCTCGATAATCAGATTTACTGTGTCTCTGCTGGACACTGTGTGACTCTTTAAGTTTCTTTAGCCTTTTCTGATCATGAGAGGCATAGTCGTGTGTCTCTCCTCATTGTTGGCATTAAGCATTTTCAGAATCTGATTGGCTTTTTGTTGATTATGTCAACAATAAATCTGACTGTGTTTCTGCTACCAGCAAAAACTTCTTCTGATTTCGGCATGGCTCGTTCTGAAGCCTGACTAAAACTGAATCTGGAATTCTGAATTTCAAATAAGAATATTAGAAGTAAAAAATAGAGCTTAAACGATTTGTCAATAATTAAATGTTTTTGCAAAAGGCCAGTTGTTGTAGCAAATCTGAATCAAACATCAGTGAATAAAAGACGTCCTCCGAGTTCTTTCTCTTCCTCCTTATCTTCAGACTGGACCAGAGAATATCGATCTGGATAAAACCTTTTTGCTCAGCTCTTTTTATGGCTGTGTGAGCCACAGTCAGTCTGAATACTCTCTATGCAACATAGAAAATGATTTAACCCGACAGTAATTACTTAAAATGACTTAACACTGTATCCATATCATTAATTACAGTTTAATAACTTTCATTTTAATATCTTCTGAATAAAAGCCAACTTGCCTGACTGTTCATAGGAGTCAATAAGACACAATTACATAAAAGCTGTCTAGCATCAGCAGTATTAGTTTTTAGATTCCATAGTACTCCTCTGACCTGGTTGTTCTAAGTGAGGGGGACGAAGCTCGTTCACTTTGTTTCCTCGCCTCTTCTCCGGCCTCTCTTTGGCTTTGTGTTTCAGACACTGGATCATGAAATACTCCAGCTGAACAACACAGAAACACATTAGTTCAGACAGAGGTGTGCAAATATAGAGCTGTTACATCTCCATGGTTTTGCTTCAGAAACAGCCTCCTGAGAGGACCGAGGTGGCCGCCTGTCCTCCTCTCCTCTACTTGATATGTGGAAATGTTGATCAGACAGAAAGAGCTGCTGCTGTCACTGCAGCCTGTTGTTATTCACACGTTTTTTTACCTGAAAATACGTACAATCAAAAACTAATTTAGCATCGCTGATCATATAAGTTGTTAATTAATAACCACTGCAGCTAAATACTGTCTCATTTGTCTGAACGTCTAGTTCCTGTTTGGCGTCATCACTTACCACGCTGCCAAAGTAGCGCCCTACGAAGACGTGATTGAGAGAGGGCAACTCCAGGTAGGTGGCCCCCAGGTCCCGGGACAGCTGGAGACCCTCACTGTGAGGCACACAGCTGCTCCAGTCTGAGGCACACAGGGGACATGTACAGGGGGGACCCTCATCTGAAGACAGGCAGAGAATTTGACATCGTAAGATGTGTACACAAGAAAAAAGGTTATTGGGAGTATAAGAAAATAAGAGAAGTAATACATGAGTCACTGATACTGCAGCTTTTCACAATGCATGAATCTATTGTAGACAGCTAATGGAAATGCTTGTTCCAAAATCAGCAGCAATAGACTATGATACACAAAATGAGTTACACAGCATTTATACTTATTCGAATATTTAGACACCAGCTCCCTAAATGGGCCTAGTTTTTTTTATCAAGATCCATCCTGCATTCCTCCCCCTAAACCATATCCACACCAAAATTGAATGTGTTCTTACCTGACCCATACAGCATCTTTCCCCATTTTTGTGCTAATCTGTCCAGTAGTTACGAGTGTAATCTTGCATACAAACAAGCCAAGCAACAATCAGTCGGACTGTGGTGAAAACATAACCTCCAAAAACACCTTCAAGCACAACATTTTAATTCATAAAGTTAATGTGACCAGACAGAGATCAAAACAGACTCAGAGGACACTGTTGATTCATACATTGTTGTTTTTCACATATTCATGTGACCTAAATCAACTATTACCCAACTAGACCAATCAGAGCGGTGCTGGGTAACAATGTTTGACACTCCTTAAGGACAAAAGTATCATACTAACACCAACACCAATTAAAATTTAGAAAACCTCATAGAAAAACATATTATATGTTGTGTCATTCACCACCACAAATTATGAAGCATATTTTCTAAATACAGTATTATTTTCCAAATGTGCTTCATAGTTCCTTCTAAACTGGGCAAAAAAACACAAACTAAAAGTTGTTTTATGTGATGAATATAAAACACAAACCTGATGCCACAGCCACATGTGGCTTTATGATGCAGATTCCCACTAATTCATCAAATTATTTTCTCACAATGACTGCCAATATCCAATAAGGGATTTTATCTTAATCATTTTTGTTGTGGGTTTCTGGGTTTCTAATGTTGCTGTGGCACTTCCAGGCCTTCATTTTTAAATCTTTACTCAAGTTTTTTAGCAAAAAATAAAGAAACTTCTTGAACAGCAACATGAGGATAAGGTTGTCTAAATTTTCTAAATCTGCTCTGACATGTGCCCTAGCACAAGCCTGACTGTGGCATGTGTGCATGGGCACCAAAGAAACGGAATCAGACATTAAATTAGAAGGATTAGCTCGGAGGAAGAAAGAGAAAAAAAATGACAGAAAAACTGCACAAAAGAGGAGCGAGCCAGAGAGAAAGAGCAGGACATACCGCTAAAAGCTGAGGCATCTGATAAATCATATGGCTAATAACCTGCAGGCATGGCACAGGGACGCAGCAAGACAAAGTGTGTGTGTGTGTGTGTGTGTGTGTGTGTGTGTGTGTGTGTGTGTGTGTGTGTGAGGCAGAAGGAAAAGAAGAGTGTGTGTGAGCATCTCACAGGGGGTGACTTGGCATATTAGTGCAACATTAGTGTGTGTGCAGTTTGTCCTCCTGTGTTCGCTTCTTTAATGGCTGAGTTACTGCATGTGTGGTGTCGCTCTCTCTCTGCCACAGCTGTGCCTTCAGGTGGCCTGAAGTCCGGCAGCAGGAAGCGCTCAGAGCTCAGGCTTCATTCTCTGCAGTCATGAGGGGATAACATGCACTGTATATCACTCACGGCAGCCATAAGCAAGAAAAACGAACACAGGCCCCGGTTCCACAGATACCAACTCTCACTGCCTCGCGCTCTTTATATGTCTCTCCCAGAAAAGGGTCGACTTCCACTGTGATCATCCTGCAGCGAAGACAGGAGCTCAAAGAATGTTGAGAGGCCGAGCTAAAAATATACACTGGTGCAATTGATGGGCTTGTTTACAGAATCTGAATTTGACATGTGTGTGTGCAAAAACACATGTAAACTCACTAAGGTGCACATACACATGCACATTAATGCCTAAGCAGCATATATGAGGCTTCACACCTCTACACTAGAGTTTAAGCACTGCTGTGGTTCACTTTGGAGGCTTTAATGGGCAAAAAGCATGAATCTGTTGTCTGTCTTTGGTGTGTTTCCTACAGGGAAACATGAGCACTGACAGCCTGAAGGCAGCCATGAGGAGATTTAATCATGAGCGTCCTCCTCGTGGCTGCTAGGACACGCTGGAGGACACGAGACTCAGACAGTCATCACACCAACTCGACAGAGAGAACATGATACTGTCTTGAAAATCAACAACTGAGCCAACAGCAAATTACCCCCGAGATACCAGGATATCAACTTTAGTGGCATTCTGTATTAGCCCGCTCTCAAGCTCAATTGTTTCCTTACAACAAAGACAAAACTGTTAGAGGAGCCATCAGTTGTCAAGGCGCTGCCGGCAAAAAACTGAACGCTCACCCCAGCTCTGACAAAAGACAGAACAAACAAAAGGCGTCCTCACCATTCAGACGCGCTCCAACTGCAACGAGGATGACTGGTACGCCCCAGTGCCTCAGCAGCGGGCGCAGTCTCGGGGCGTAGCCGTTCCTGACCTGCTGGAACGCCAGCTTGTCAGTGACTGAATACTTAATGACCAGAATGTCTGCCTGCTCGAGAACTTTCCGCACGCTGGCCCAGTCGCTGTCCAACAAGTCCTGGAAAAGGTGAGAAAAAGGACAACAAATATAACATGATGAGAAGAGGAGTGGGATTGTCCGTGTGTCCAATCAGTACATGAATCTCACCTCATATAACCCTAACCTGTCCACTCTGAGTCTTCCTCAGTGTAAACACCTTATTATAGCTCTTGGGACTTTGCCCCTAAGGATGTGTGTGGCTAGCAGATCTGAACCAGCCTGATTCACCTCATTAGGCAGGAGGAAAAAACAACACTTCAGAGAGCTTGGAGCAGTTTGAAAGAAGAAGTCGTAGATTTCGACTGACAGACTTTCCCCAGCACCACCCCCTGCCAGAGTTAAACAGCCTTATAATAGGACGCATACAGCGCTGCTACAATAATCACAACAGAGCTTTCATTTCAAATGCATATGTTATTAAGAACAAAAGTTCTTTCATCGTTTCTTTTTTTGTGTGCAGTGCATGTTAAAAGCCTCTGCCTAAGAATAGAGAAGTTTTTATGAAGCCTGCAATCAGCACTGGAAGGCAAGTGGCCTCGAATTTTCGATGTTTAAATGTACTGAGAATAAGTAGCACGAAGGAAAAGTAAACATCTTTAACAATTAGCAAAACTGCACCACTTTTTTGTGGCATGCTTTTTTCCTATTGGTCTGTCCTGACCTTCTTCTGCAAGTCTAGTGTGATTTGGTGTCATGCAAGTAGGGAGGTGTAATGTCAGAGCCAAAGCAACACTTAAGAATTGTTCATTTTCTCACGTATACTGGACAGGGGTGGATCCAAGGCCGGGATCAGGGGGCCACTGACCCCAGTTGAAAGCTTTCAGGTGTTGGAGGAAGAAATAAGTTCATTCTGTTGTTGAGATCACATGTTTACAGCACATCGACACTGGCATCAGCCTTTATCACCAAAGGCTCTGCTGACACCTGTTTTGACACAGTTTTGTGTCTTCCTCGTGTTAGAGCTCACTAACAGTGAATCCAGAGGATCTCCTGCTGAGTCCTCACATGGACTCATTTGAAAACTATCTGCAGTTTTCACAGGGGCTGGCTTGAGAAATTCTGGAGGAAGTCCAGAACCTCTCACTCAGACATTTGCGTTCTCACAAACAGCCACTACAGAGAATGTCAGGAGATCATTTGTGCATGTGTCAAAGCAGCTTTACTGAAACAGGAACTGTTCATGGATGCTGGACATGTAAATGGCCCATGTGTGTAAATGTTGACCCCTTTATGGCCCCTGAAACACACACATTACTTCAGACAAAGTTGTGCAAACCCAGATATGCCACTGGCCATGTGCATGAGCCAACATGATCCAAAATCCCCTCTCCCTGCTTCTCTCATGCTGTCCGGCACATGTCTCTTACCCAGCTGGGACAATCCCGCACCACCACGGTGACGTCTCCGAACACACGCGAGGTGTACTCCATGAACGCTGGGTTGTGTAGGCTGCTCTCCAGGTCGCAGGGTCCCACCAGGGCACCGTGACCCAGGTAGCTCCACAGCAGGCCTCCCTGCAGCTGCCCCTGGCCCATGATCTCCTCCCCAGGCCCAACTCCTCCGGGGCACTCGCTGCCCAGAGCCACGATGTGGATGGACCTGCAAAGACAAGTGGAGGATGATGAGCATGTTGATGATGGTGATGATCCCCAGCTCACCTCTCTGAGCTCTGGTGCTTATTATTCATGTCTATCACGGAGACAGTGCATCAGAGACTGAGAGGAAGGTTGCCATGGCCTTTGTTGCATCTGAGTGTGTGTAATGGTTGAGTAAATCACTTTGATGGGATTATTTCTGATCATTGATGAAGCATTGAGAAAAACAAAGCATGCAGCCACAGCGGGGAGCGCTTCTCCTGCGTGTCTGGAGGAGTTGCAGCTTCAGGGAAACTTACATGGTGTAACCTCGGTGTTCGCTGCTGCTGCTGCTGCTGCTGCTGCTCTATGCTGCGGAGCTCGGTCCCCTCACGGTGAGTCTCCTCGCCAGTCTGCAGTCAGACTCGGCTTTTTCCGCAACGAGCCGCGGCTCCGCTCCGTCGTTAATCCCTCTCATCAGCGGCTGCCCCCCCGGGAGCTGCTGCTGCTGCTGAGTTTCGCATTCACTCGCATGTCCTCCCCCTTCGTTATTCATTCATAAAAGCGCGGAGCCCGGTACCGTCCCGAACCGACCGCAGCAGCCCACCGGGCACCGAGAGCAGCGGCGCGTGTCAGCAGCAGCGCCCATGGGCAGACACTGCGCTAACGGACACACAAGTTGTCACCGACCGGGAGAGGCAGCGTCACACCACCGACTCCACACCACAGACTGTGGGTCCACACCGTGCGGAGGGTGACGTCGGCGGATAAGACAAAAGTCCCAGCGGCGGAGAACAACTGGAGAGAGGGAGAGAGAGGGAGAGAGAGGTAGAGAGAGGGGGCAGAGGTAGAGAGAGAGAGGGGAGAGGGAGAGAGAGGTAGAGAGGGAGGGGGGAGAGGGAGAGAGAGAGGGGGGGGGGGGGAGAGAGAGAGGGAGAGAGAGGGAGAGAGAGGTAGAGAGAGGGGGCAGAGGTAGAGAGAGAGAGGGGGAGAGAGAGGGGAGAGAGAGAGAGAGGGGAGAGGGAGAGAGAGGGAGAGAGGGAGGGGGGAGAGGGAGAGAGAGAGGGAGAGAGAGGCAGAGAGGGGAGAGGTAGAGAGAGAGAGGGGAGAGGGAGAGAGAGGTAGAGAGGGAGGGGGGAGAGGGAGTAGAGAGAGTAGAGAGAGTAGAGAGGGTAGAGAGGGTAGACAGAGTAGAGGTAGAGAGAGTAGAGAGAGTAGAGGTAGAGAGAGAGGGGGGGAGAGGGAGAGAGAGGGAGAGGGGGGGAGAGAAAGAGTGACACAGAGGTAGAGAGAGAGGGGGGAGAGAGAGTGAGAGAGAGAGAGAGAGGCAAAGAGAGAGACACAAAGGTAGAGAGAGGCAGAGAGAGATACACGCAGAGGACGAGAGAGACACACACACACAGACAGAGAGTGAGACAGAGAGAGAGAGATGGAGAGAGAGAGAGAGAGATGGAGAGAGAAAGACACACACACACAGACAGAGAGAGAGAGAGAGACTGAGAGAGAGACAAAGAGAGAGAGAGAGAGAGAGAGAGAGACACACACACACACACAGAAAGAGACAGGTCGCGCCTGACTCAGCAACACGCACGCGGACATTCACAGTAGCGGATATATGTTTTCTCTAGATCACGGGTCACAATTCACATAAAGGGGCCCAATTACATGTCCAGCATCTGTGCACATGATTCAGTAACATTGCATTCAGTCCTTTCAAAGCCACCCCTCATTGAAGATATGTTTTGAATAAGGAATATGAATTCCTTATTCAAAACATATCTACTTCGAAAGAGCTTAGAATATAAAATTATCATATTTATTGTTATTATTGTTCATGAAAGACTAGTTTATCTAAAAGAAAAGACTACAGGGGCATTTCAGGGGGCCAATCAGATGTCAGCCCTAACCTCCCCCCCTGGTTGTGGGGTTACATACAAAATGATATTTGCATACAAATTCACACAATCAAATATATATATATATATATATATATATAGACACAAAGGAATAAACCCAGAGGTAAACCCAGAGCAAATGACAGTTTGAAGAATTTCCTGATACAGCAAGATAATGTAACACTTAGTCTTTGTTGTTCTGCTGAGGGAGTTGGTGGCTGATAAGAGGTGATAATGAGATCTACAGTCCCTGGATCCTGGACTAACTCCAGAGCTTCAGGAGAGGAGGAGCAGCCTCAGCCTTAAAGGTTTAATCAGAGCCTCTTGTGTCATTCACCACCACAATAAATAATCCAACACAGAAGCAACAGAGAGCATTGAGGCCTTGTGGTTTGAATGGCCTCACTATAAATCCAAGCTGCTTACATGCGGTGCAATACCCTCCCAGAGTAAGAGACGCTGGCCCTGCTAACAGCTGCCTTCAGACAGTCTGCTCCTCATCCTGACAAACAGCCACCTCCACTTGACCTGCGGCAAATGACCACCTGCACATTAATGCTCTAAGCCCTGCATCAAGATTCTCAATTTGACTACATAATCACACTTTAATATTTAATGTGCAGTAACTCAGCCACCCTAGTTGCATGGAACCCAGGGCTCTGAGCACTTCTTGATTGTATTCAAAGCGTCACACAGGCCGAGGCCCCTCAGACTGTGTGGGGAATGCGCTGCGGGCCAGACCAACATCATTCATGCACACAGCAGCATCATTACACCATGGCCCACGTGTGCTCAACCCATGCCATTGACATTCATGGAGCCATGTCACAGTTACCCTGCACTGTTGGCACAGAAACAAAGAAAGAGTCTGAATGTGACAGGCTGTCCGCACCTTTTACATCAAATGGTTAAGAAAGGATAGAACTCAAATAACTTGCAGTGCGTGAAAAGAACAGGAAAGATGTATTCAACGAATCGTGATTCACAGAAAAGACACATTAAACAAACTTGCCTTTGTTTTTGCTCAACAACTATAAAACCTGTTAAATTAGGTTAAATGTGAGTGTTGTGACATATCATATCAGTAATAATACAGTGATAAGGATAGTGATCGCTGTATGTCTTTTGCATGGCTTGGGTAGTTACCTCCACCAGGTACGTATATGCAAGATCCCACAAATACAACTGGAAAGATTTCTATAAGTGATTAATGGTTAAATGTCCCCTCTGTATAAACTGAAGAGGCCAATAGCACTGAGTGTGTACGTATCTTCTGTTATTAATAAAGTTGTTTACATGCAGTCACCAGGGAATAGAAAGTCTAGTACATACAGAGCCCTTCATATTATACATTATAATGAAGATATTTATTTTTCTAAGTTTATGTGTGGGTGTGTCAAAGAAAAGCAAATAAAAGAAAGAAAGAGAAGCAGAGGGGAAGAAAGAAAATAATGGAAAGAAATGAAGGAGAAAAAGGAAAAAAACAGTGACCTTAGCGGAGAGGAGAGAAATGTTTGCAGCCCCATTCCACCATTAATTCTACTACACAAAGTAAAAATTAATCAAATGAATAATATCTGTGTTCTTAGCTAATGCTGCTGATTTGACCTCATGAAGTCACGGACTGCTCCAGATCTCATCTCTGAGCAAGAGGGCAAATGATCACATCCATGAAAATGTGAAACAATTCATTTAAAGTAGAATAACATGTTTGCTGAATGTTCACAACGAACCTTAAAGGTACAGTGTGTAGAATTTTGTGATATCTAGTGTTGAAGTGGCATGTTGCAGCTGAACACCCCTCACCTCACCCTCTCCTTCCAAACATGACAGAACCTGTGGTAGCTTCAGTTGTCATAAAAACTCAAAAGGTGTTTAGTTTGTCCAGTCTGGACTAATGTAAAAAACACGGTGGCCTCCGTAGAGAGGGTCCTCTTGATGTAAATATAAAGTATTTAAATATAAAGGGCATTTTCTGGGGTAAAGAAAACTACAATTCATACGATTTGGATGAAACGAACTACTGAGAACATCATGGGGATTATTCTCCATTAAATTTCTGCCAATAATTCCCTTTCACCTAAATCTTACACACTGGACCTTTAAATATCTCCACCCATGTGCAGCGGACTGCTCATGAGGGTTAACGGACCAGAAACATGTCACAACATAAACCCCAAATGATTGAACCTGTGCAGCCTATGTGCTCTGATATTATATCTGAGGGAATATGCAGACATGGATACTACAGGAAGTGGTCGATACGGTACGAGCTTTAAATTTTGCATTAACCACTCAAGGGCATTATTGATCCACATTAACCATTTTATCTTATTGATTTGTGTATGCATAATACACAGAGTATTGAAATGTACAGGGATGCACCAGTATGGTCCTGTATCCAGCTACCTCGTACCACTGTCAAATATATATAGATACTGAGAAATCTAAATTCATCCTTAAAGAAATTCAATAGTGGACTACAGGATAGATTTAAGAAAGAATCGTTAGTGTAAGATGAAAATATTTGACCAGATCTTGTAGGAAAACATTTTAATCTGTTATCAACAAGTAAACCACAATTTAAACAATTAAAAACTCCAGATTCTCCCGACGTAAAGATTCAAGTGTTTAAAGATAACTGACATCCTCTGTATACACACATCCTTTACAGGAAGTTTGGGGAGATAAAAAAAGAGACTGGCATCTGCATCTATCTGCCTCCTCATGAGGAGGTTTTCTTCTCAGCAGCCATGGCTTTGGCCCTTTCCACTTTGCCCTTTTCTCCCTGGTAGTAGTCTGAGTCGATCCAGTCTGTTTCCGTGGAGAGCTTGACGTAGACTCCCCCGTCGGTCTCTGTGACCGTGTGGGTCCGCTGCTTCACACCCTTGGAGTACCATCTGGGCACAGGTGGCTTTTCCCTGGGGTCGGTGCCCTTGTATATGCCCTCCCCTTTGGCAAGGGAGATCTTGTACTTGTGATTTGGACAAATTATGCACAGCTTGCCATCTATTTCCTATGTGTGTTAGGAGAAAACAAGTAAACAAAGGAAGTGTTACTTCTTTGACATTTCAATTATAACATTTAATATTATGCAGGTTTTATATCTTAAATACAGTTCTCCTACAGGCCTTAGCTCAGTATTTGCTATTAAGAATGTTAAATGCAGATGGAATAATGTGTGAATGCATGAAAAAAAAACAGGTGTCCAGTTCTTTAACTTTAATGGTATTTTAATTTATCTTAAGTTAAATGTTAACCTCACCTCAATGTCTCCATTCTGCAGCATCCCCCCAGCATCTGTTGGAACAATGAATGAGCAGTTTGTTACAGACTTAGAAAACACTTTACAGCACACTAACAAGCTGCTAACGGCACATTAATGTACGACGTATAACAATTTGAGGTAGCCTGGTGTTAAAGGTCCAGTGTGTAAGATTTAGGTGAAAGGGAACTATTGGCAGATTATTTAATATAGAATAATCCTCATGATGTTTTCACTATAGTTCGTTTCATCTAAATTGTATGAATTGTGGTTTTCTTTACCCCAGTCCCTTTATCTTCAAATACATTAGTCCAGACTGGACACACTAAACACCTTTTGAGTTTTTATGACAACTGAAGCTACCACAGGTTCTTCTTCATGTTTGGAAGGAGAGGGTGAGGTGAGGGGTGTTCAGCTGCAACATGCAACTTCAACACTAGATGTCACAAAATTCTACACACTGTACCTTTAAGTACCCCCTGACAGGATTTCTATTAGCCAAATATTTTTGAAGTGGATTACTGGAGGCCTGTATTTGTCATCAACATTCATAATTCCATTGAAAATACACATTGTTTTATACTAGTGGTTTAACAGTTTGTAATATAACAGTCCCCTTTGATTAAATCAAACCGCGCCAAATTACATGACACTCATACGAATCAGTCCCCCAAAATACCAGATTGTTTTCATTAAGATCCTTGAATCATTTCCTGTAAAAAAAAAATCCTGTCTCAGAATATAAAAAAATCCGCTCCTTAATTCGGATTCAACAACATTTAATGGGTTCTTCCCTGAAAAATGCCCTTTATCCCAGCATTAAAGAAAGTAAAAAAATTATATTCTCAGATCTAGCCTTTTGTCCAGATTTGCCGAAATTTGAATGGCTTCTTCTTTGACCTAAATCCCGTCTTTCCACAAAGTTTTGTAACAAAATGTTCAGTAGGTTTTGCATAATCCTTCTGAAAATCAAATAAATGAACAGGAGTGAAACCATATCCCGCTTGGTGGAGGTAACTAAAACATAATGGTCACACAACTGTACTCACGATAACAGTAAGAGTCCAAAGCATAGAAGACCCCCTGTTGGTAGATGATAAGTATGTCCCGACCCTCCAGTGTTCTGAACGAGCGCTTCGCTGCAATCAGTTCATCTTTAGTCCCCACGAAATGAGGCCCTCCAGTAGACTGCTCTTTGTCCCCCATAGCTCTGTGAGACACTGTCGAGAGGGAAGCAGGAAATATACCAATTTATCATACTGAGGAAAGTTATTTTTCATGACCAAATCACAGTTCACCAGCAGTCAATGTCATATGGGCAGCAATGTCAACATACTGCATTTCTTGGGTGAGAACTTTCACTAAAACTTTAACTACATAAGAAAAACAGATCCTTTGGATTTGTCTCCGTAATTTGTGTTGGCACGTCCCATCACAGCTGTCAGCTTAAACTAAATCCACAACACCTCCAGAACATTTAGCTTCAAGAATCCAAGCAGGGACACTTCCTGGCACTGATCTGCTCCACTCCAAACACACAGTCCTGCAACATTAATCCCTCAATATCTGACTCATCATCATCAAGTTGAGATATTAAAAAGACTCAAGAAGTTTAGAGCTGAAATGTGAATTTCAACTATCAAAATATTGAGATTTCTTTTTTTTTATCTAGCATCATTCTTCAATCAAAGAAGCTTATCAAGTGATTGCAGTTTCTGCAAAAAAAATGGCATGAAACATTTGACATCATTGTAGAAAAGAATCAGGGTCATCTACAGACCACAGTCCTACATCATCTTAATAAAAAATCTCAGTGACTGTCCAAATATCTGGATGCAGAGCAACCTGATTCCAAGTGTGATTCATGTATAGCGGAGTGAAATAATGAGCACTTCAGTGCAGGCTGAGTAAGCACAGTAGTAGTAGCAGCTAGAGTCACATGTCCTGAAGCCTCTGGCTAAACCAAAGACAGCTACATAATCTGAAGGAAGAAAGAAGAAATAGTTATTTATGTCAAGAAAACAATATAGGTTGAATTTGAAATGTTTTTGTTAAATTCCCTCTCAAAGCATGATATGTTTATCTATCATCTCAGTCTGTATCTCTGCCTGTGTGTCTATCTCTCTCCCTAAATATTTTTGGTCTTTGCTTCAAAATTAAAATAACACATTCTCTTCCTCGCTTTACCTTTGAACGCAGCAGCAGTGTCTCCTCCGTTCAAGCTGAACAACTGTCTGACAGGCCAGGGTTGTGTGTGATGGGGGGAGGCTCTTCTTCATTATCTTCACACACAAGCTGTCTTCAGTTGGTCCTCTCGACACCGAGTACATTTCTTATCTGACTCCCCCAAACCATGTGTTCGACCTTTCACTGGGAGACATTTCCAACAGAATGAAGCGCAATTCAAAAGTAAGAATAGAGAATTTACATATTATTATTATTGTAAATTACTTGGCCATTTTACTTTAATAAGTTCACCTGTTTTGTATCCTTCAATTATCATATTTCCTCACTCAAGCATCTTCGTCAGACTGAGTAATAAAAGTAATTGAGAAACCAAGTACATCCTCTCAAGCATTGTGCTGAAGTATAATTTTATTGGACATATTTGTGTATTTACATTTTCTGCTACTTTATACCTCCACTACATTTCAGTATATATTTTCCCCACTGCATTTAGTGACAGTGCAGTTATACTACCACCTAGTGTACATTTTACATACAAAAGACACATCAAATGTATTATGATGATAAATATATAAAGTCATTATAATAATCATTAATAATATAAATTCTCAATCAATATAACATAGCAGTATATTTTATATAGGCTAGAATGAATCCGTGTGAAATATATTAATAAAACATTTAACAATACAAAAATACACTTTAATACAATCTTTATAAAGAGTAAGTAATTTAATTCACCTTCAATGCGACCGAGTTGTTTTCAGTAGGGGGCGTTTGCAACTGTAATTATACAAAGCGGAACTCTCTTCATTGGAGGGCGGAGCCATTTCTCACTGTACCGCTGTGCACCGCGGTCCCCGGTCCGTGTGAAACAAACAGAGAGCGACAGTGAACGCAAGGTAAGTCGCTGAGTGTTTGCAGGTTGTTTGAAGTGTCTGAATAAGAACCAGTCAGACTGACAAGTGTTTGTGTACGAAGAGAATGTGGTCTTTAAAACATCTGCACTAACAACAGAAACCATAATATATTAGGAAAGATCCAGTGTGCTAGAAAGAAGGCAGAAAGAAAGAAAGCTAGCTAACATGCTCATACATGGATTTAAGACTTATTTCATTTCTTTCTGGTTATGGAGTCTGGCAGTGTTTGGCCCCTAATAGTTACCTTTCTATTCACATTAATGTTTGCTTTCGGGGCTCAGACTCACTGCTGGACTGTGCTTCTTTAATACACCAGAGAAAAGCTCAAATTAGACCAGTGTGCTGTTTGAACTGGAAGTCCAAGCACAGCAGGTTTAACTTGTTTCAATCAAAAGTCTGGTTCTCAAACTATCCTCGATTTTTAAAGATATTTCAAGAAATGGAAATTCCCACTTGTGGCCTAATAGATGTCCTCATCATGGCAGAAAGATATGAAGTAATAAAGATGAATTTAAAATTAGTAATTATGCTGATAGCAAATTAACATACTGCTTTAATTCAATGCCTTAGAAGCTTGCATTGTGGGTAATTTGTCTGTAAATCAGTAGTTAAAAACCTGACTAAAGTTTCAATAGATTGAAGCTTTAAAGGTGTCTCGTCGTTTCACTTTAATGTCTTTTATTTTCTGGAAATCTGGAACACAAAATGCGTTCATGCGTACACAATTTTATTAAACAGAGAGATGGCGGTGCGAGCCTGTGGCTTCATAGTGTTTCGTCTGGCGAGTTCTATTCCCCCACCAGACAACATCGAGTACCTCCTCCTGCAGACTTCCTATGGCGAGCACCACTGGACTCCACCTAAAGGTGTTTACAAGTTCAAAAACTAGATTCTGAGATTCACAGCGAGATTCTGTTAATGTTGAATTTATAGATGAATAATAAAATGTTTGCGCCCAACATGTTTACCATCAGGTCATGTGGACCCAGGGGAGGATGACCTCACCACAGCCTTGAGAGAGACCAAGGAGGAGGCGGGGCTTGGGGCAGATCATCTTCAGGTGATTGACGGCTTTTTGCAGGAGCTGCGCTATGAAGTGCGAGGCAGACCCAAGGAGGTGCTGTACTGGCTGGCCGAGCTCAGAGACCCACGGACAGCAGTGACTTTGTCTGACGAGCACCAGGACTACCGCTGGGCCCGGCTGGAGGAGGCCTGCACTCTGGCCCAGTACAAAGACCTGCAGGACACACTGAGATCAGCACAAAGACACCTGCAGGCTCAGGGAGACAAACAGTGATGTGACAGGGTTTAGACTGAACAGAGGGGATAATTGAGAGATAGCTACATATTCAAGATGATGTGTCAACTGGCATGTTGAAACATCCATTCTCGGCATCCAGTCTGAAACGACTTCTTTTAATTGAATAATGTCTCTTTCTGCTTTAACTGCATTTTTGTCTTTGTTAATACATGCCTGTGCTATGTAGTCTTTTGTGAAAACACAGCTGGAAATGAATCAACGGTTGAAAATCAGATCACTGATTTGAGGTTAAGTCACTGCACAAAAACATGATTATCTATGTAGTTAAATTCTCTTAAATGCTGCTGATCTGAACATAAATAAACTGAAATACTCACTTGGACTCTTAATCCTGCTAGAAGTCAGTAATACACCAGATACCAGAATCCAATACTCAGGTAGAAGTATTATTGCTCAAGTAAAAAAGTAACTGGATAAAATAAAAATAGATGCTATCACAGGGTGGAGACAAAAAAAAACTAAATTCTACTCACAATGCTGTACAACACTACAGGCTGCAGCAACTCACCTCAGATGACCTTTAACATCTTTCAGGCTTTTCTTTCCAGCTCTTATCTTCATAATAAAAATTAGATATGGCTGTCTTTGTTGCAAATTAGTTCCTGCTCAGAAATGAACAGCCAGTGGTGGAGATAATTTTATTATGTAACAAATGATGGTCATAAATTGTTTTTATATAGTGATTCTACATGATTAATTTAGGATCATAACCAATTGACAACCCAATTTTTTGGATGATTTACAAACTATATATCATTAAGCATTTTGTAATGAGATGAAAACAGGCAGTGCTACCTTATAACTGTGACGTTTTTATCATCTACTGTGAGAAAATGACCAAAGGAATTGGGTCATTTGACATATGTCATCCTGTGGTTAGATATATAGACCAGGTAATAACAATGAAAACCTTTTAAGTCAGTCAGCTCAACATCATACTGGACAAGAATCTAGCAGTGCTGTGTAATCAAATTATACTTTATCAACAGTCAAAGCCTGAAAAGTAACACACCCACATCAATTTAATGTTGAAATTAAATGGGACATAAAACCTTTACCCTATAGTAATTGGCATAATGCCTCATTGTTCTTTATATAACTGCTTGTTCTGCTCTGGACTTCACTCTGCAGTTACAGATGGCCTCTGCTGAAGGGATGAAATAAGATTAATTAAAACAACATGTGCTCTTTTACTCGCACTGCAGAACGGAAACCCTCACTTCAGTTAACTGATAGCTATTATAAGAACATGGGAAGCCCAGTAAGTGGAGGTCAGTAAACTTTCCCACAGTGGCCATTAGACTTACATCAGATACACAGACTATTAAAAAAAATGATATAAATACTATAGCTGTCCATTCAGCACAAGCTGGTATATTGCTTTGAAAATCACCACACCATCAACCCAGCAATTCATATGAAGCCTGGAAGATACTTTAAGTCCTTCCCTCAATGATAGGAGACAACTAATAGTTCTGAATTAAAATAACCATCTATCTTCATGGTCGTTATTGTGTTGTCTTTATATGAGTTATTGAATATCATTAAACGCATTCATCGTCATTAGTTTCAAATTGGGTGCAATTATGGACCATAATGCTGCATAAAATTGGCCATAAAAATGTTACAGGTCATTTGAAAGTAGGGAAGTATGGATAGATTTTAAATGTGGCACACAAAGCTTTGAAATTGAATTATTCAAGAAGAAAAATCCAGGAGCAGCATGAATTTCTGGGAACAATGTCGCACTGTTTTAGAGGTGATGTATTTCTTAAGTGGGAAGTGGTTCCAATTAAAAGCTGTTCACACTGATATCTATAGATTATCCACAGCAACAAGGCCATCATTTCTGGAAACACGGTGCTGTAGGATAATAAATGTGATCTATCTAACACTGTGTAACTTCCATTCAACTAAATGAGGCATACATGACTAGATATATCAAGGGTCAAGTTATCCAGCAGTTGAGGGGAACCAAGCTTTCAGCTAATATATTTTCAGTCGCACACTAACTAAAGTCTGTTGTGGTAATAATCTGTGGTAATCAATGGCAGAATAAGGTGAAACCCTTCCAGCATTTTTCAATGACATACTGATTTATTTTTGAATCATTTTCCAACTTAACCACAATAACTGAAACCCCTCCACTTGCATATCACTCCTTATTCTACCCCAAAGACCAGGTCGCTGTGTTGCCTGTTCTCCAAGACATGTAGGCTCAGCAACAGATACCATAGCAATTTCGTAACAAACCAAACAATGAATTTTTTTTTTTTTTTTTACAATAGAAACTTTATGAGTGATGTTTTCATCCTCAAAAACACAAAATCTGGAGGAAAATAATGAAATAAAATCAAAGGTTGAAACCAACAAGGACAGCATTAACATCAATAGGTGTGTACACGTTAGTGGTAGCATTGTGGACAGTTCAGTCCTTTACATGTGTGACTGTGTGAAGGCCTCATGGGACCTCACAGTGTTGACCCGCCCCCCCACTTCAAAAAACACACACCTGTGCACACACATGCTCACACACACAGGTTAGATGACCTAACTGATGTCATTCAGTCTTTTTTGTACTTAACGGTGTGTATAGAATAACATCTCAACATCTTAGACTGTGATCCATTTTTAGTGTGTGTCATTACTCGGGATGAGTTTGGGAATCCGTGTCCCTCCTTATCTTTACTACACCTGCACTCATTAAAACTCAAGGCAAACATTAAAGTTCCAAAAAGGGGATGATTCTAATATCGTAGAGCTCTAAACTGATCATTGAATTACTAACGTGAGGGCGATACTACGCCTGGATTATACACTAACAAAAACAAATAGTGCAGATTCAGATTTTTTACTTTTTAACTTAAGCAAAAACGGGCTTTAAAGCAATAACTCCACATTTTGGGGGACACGCTTTGATTACAAGAGAGTTATATGAAAAGATTGATACCCCTCTCATGTGTGTCAGTAAAATATATGATGCTGCTGCCATCCGCTGGTTAGCTTAGCTTAGCACAAGTACTGGAAACAGAGGGAGACCACTTGCATGCTTTCTAATTAGTGATCTTTAAAGGTGCTGGTAGATGTTGTTACCTTTGGACAGAGACAGTTCTGTCCCAGTCTTTGTGACTAAACTAGGCTAATCTGCTGCTGGCTGTAGTTTCAATTTTAAATGGTAAAAAGTGGAATAGTTTTGAAGAAATATGCATGTTCACTTTTGGGAAGAGAGTTAGATGAGAAGACTGATACCACTCTCATCATGGTTGCCTGTGGCCTATAAAGCTACAGCGAGCAGCCTCCCAGCACCTAAAGCTCAATCATTAACATCTTTATCTAAACCAAATTTGTTTTATGCCATTTTATGTGGTGGGCGATTTCTTTGCTCAAAGCAATGGTCAGGCTATGAGCAGATCTGACAAATGACAAATTGTAATCTTTGCTCCTAAGTTGGAGATATATTAATCACTGAGTTGAAGGGGTGCTGCTGTGGATGTTGTTACTGCTGGATTGTTCCAGTCTTTGTGATTAGCTAAGCTAATTGCTTACTTCATAGTCACACAAACAGAACTGAGATGGTATTGATCTCTCTAACTCGCCACCAGAAAGCAAATAAGCATTTTCACCCAAATTTCAAAATATCCCTTTTGAAGGCACACATGAGATTGGTTCTTTCTGTTAACGACTATAATTTCACATCTCTATATGGTGATGAATGGGCAAAAATGGGTACCACATAAAAGTTAAAAGTTCAGAATCTCTGGCATCACTCCATTTCCTGTTGTGCCTTGATATCAAATCCACGTAAGATCCGGTTCAGAAGACGTCCTCTCCGAGTCCTTCACAGAATCTAGTCTCTGTGAGCCGGCGAAGCACAGCGGCCGGCTGGGCCGGGAGAAAGTGTTTCTCTCCTTTGGCTTCACATTAAAATCCAACAGGAATCTCTTAAAGAGTTTAATCAAACAGCGTTAAATCCACTACATGCATCCATTGCTCCATAGTCTTTAACATGAGCAGTCGCAGGGGTTTTATTTGAACTTTGCATAAAATCCAGCCGTGTGAATCAAAGGTCTGTCCCAGTGCTCCGTCGTGTTGAACAGGGCAAATGATTCACACCCACAACTGTTACCCAGCTCCAACGTGTAGTTTACTCCATGCCATACAGGTAATATTAGTCTGTTCAATGTGTTCACAAGTTTAATACTTGAAAACAGATTTTTTTAAATCAGTCAAATCCTCTGTGAATTCAGACCCACTGAAGCAGCACAGGGAAAACACTGAATGTTTTCTCAACTGGACAAAGCTCAAAGGGTCATTTGGGCAAACTCACTCGTGTGACAGACTGATTCCACAGAGACAGGAACATAAACCCTGACATCACAGTCAATGGATGAATAGTAAATGTAGATACGCGCGCACACACACACACACACAACAGGCAATCAGTGTCATATTCATTCAAATGCGTGTGTAGCTAAGCTGCATGTTGATTTTGTCCCTGTTGATCTTTGCAAGTGATTCAGCACAGTAACAACGTCCAGTTTTCACTATTTAAAGCATGATTTGGAGTCACAGCACGAAATGTAACATATTCTATTGCAACATAATGTGACCACTGGCTTGAGGACAAAGTCCCTACAGGTGTATTTATTTTTTTCTTCAATTTTGACTCTAGCCTACCAAGAAGAAAACAACTGCAAATAACCCTATTCAGGACCAACAGCAACACTCAGTCATGTGTAAACACGCTGGCGGTGGGTTTGGAGACTTCAGTTCACTCTCTGCTCTCTACTAACACCCAGAAAATAAGAAAAATGGTGCCGGTGAGTAGCAGTTTGTGTCTTTAGTTTCTCTATCTCTATTTTCTTTCTCTCACTGAAAATCTATAGAGGCCCTGAGGTTTAAGAGGCAGAGAGAGGTCTAGGAGGCGATGTTAACAAAGGTCTTTACCTTGTTCACCCCCAAAAACAAATGACGCTGCTTGGAGCAATCATGAGGAACAGATGTTATGGACACAAGTAAAGGTGGGTACAAGAGGGTGGTGGCACAGCGTAGCCTGTGTTTGTCAGTTGAAGTTGATTGCATCAAAGTTGAATAGAAAGGTGTTATGAGAGACACGGGACAGTAACGAGACAAGGTGCCCAGTTCATCATCTGGTTGATGAGCCGACACAGCAAGTGTCCATTAACCAGACTGTCTGAGCCATCCCAGAGGAAACAAGGGACAAGTTGAGAAAGAAAAAAAGTCAACCGATTGAATAAGAGATGTACATAACAGCCTTTCAACACAAAACCATACAGACTGATGTGTCAGGAGACAAAGAGCCGTCCAGATACAGTGGGGTTCAAGAGACCACCACGAAGACAGTTTGTTTTCATCATTTATCAAAATCCAAAATGGGCTGTTAACTTAAGTTGAATAGTTTGCCAATTAAATACACATTATATTGAAAATGTGATTTTATTTCTTTGGGTATTTCCTAAAATTAATTACTGGTATAAGCAATGGAAAGATTTTATTAAATTATTGCTGAATTCAATTTCAAATATCAACACCTGTATGTTCCTCAACAATGTTGCATTTTTGTGGTGGTTACTCGTGCTAATGCCAATTTCCTTTGTTTTCCTCCAAACAGGGACCACACAGACCTACCCAGCATCTTTAGAAAGAACTACATCAGCATCCAATATGCATATCGGTGCAACAAAGCTAAAGTTAAAAGGTCAATCAACTGCAGCAAAAAACTTAAATGGTTATGACTCAACCTGACTGAAATTTCAATGTTGAGAGATAAGAAAAAAAATGGTTGCAACCTAACCACTTACAATAAAGTATGAGAGGAGCTGGTTGCATGAGAAAGTAAAAGGGGGAATTAAAACCTCGAGTTGAAAATGGAGATGAAAACAAAAGTGTGTGGATGTTTTTCCTAATAAACTAACACTGCTCCACTCTGCAGAAGCATGCCATCATTTCTAATTTAAAACTGTGAGGCAGAAGATGGATTCTCGGCCTCCACATTTAAAAATCTGAAAATATAACGCATCAGAAACACACCCGGTGTTCCCTTAAACAAGACTGGATTCATTTCCATTCTCAGACTCTGCCAGACATTTCACGCTGGACCGATGCAGTGCAAGCTGTAATTAAGGCAAACGGTGGAAATCTGACTTTCAGTGAAAACAGTACCTGACAGAACTATTATTTGACCAATCCTCTGTACTAGTTTAATAAATGATGAAAAGATTTTGGCAGTAGACTTTTGACCCCACTGTGTGTGCGCAAACACGCGTACACACACGCACGCACTCACACACACACACACACACACTGTAACTTAACACATAAAAGAAGGGAAGTGGTGTGGGAGTTGGCAGGGGAGAGTTATCATCCAGATCATCACGAGTCTTCGTTGCCAGAGTCGTCCTGGTTGTCGTAGCGTCTGGTGGACATCCCGCCATCCTCCATGCTGCTGAACCCCCCGGCTTCGCCTACAGATTCCATCTCGCTCTCGTCATCCTCGTCATCCTCCTCCTCCATGTCGTCGTCATAGAGATCGTCGTAGAGAAGGTCGGAACTGCTGTCCTGGGAGGGAACCCTGGTCTGGATGCAGTACTCCGCCAGTGTGGTCGGCACTTTGACACCATCTCGCTCAGCCTCTGCCGTTGTTGACAACACCTGCTTCCTGTAAGCCGAGAGCAATAAAATTAAAGTCTGCGTATGAGGTCAATTTCCAAATTATAAATATTTTCTGGTCCGCCATATTGTACTTATTAAGTGTAAGTACAGTTTATTACCTGATAATCTCCGCATACTCCTTGTCCTTGCCTTTGCTGTCTCTCCATTTACGGAACATGACAGAGGCATCAACATTGGCTGGGGAGAACGTGTTGGGCTCATTGAGCAGCGAGATCACACTAAGCAGGATGGTCCTGAACATCAAAAACACCACAAAGAGTCACAGATGGACAGACGATGAGGACACTCCAACATCACATCCTGTGGTTCTATCTGCACAGTCTTTTTGAAACTGTAGTAACTGTAAGACAGCCCAGACAGAGGTGTTACCTCACTTTTTTTCTATTAGCAGCCCAGTGACATGCTGCAGCCAATCTGCTCAGGTTTTTAAACACAGACTCAGCACTTTATCTCTGCACCTCGAAAATATGTGTCTTGCTGACTCGCTGAATTTAAAATAATTTCTGAAACCTTCCCTGCAATAGTGTCTTGTTCTTTAGAGGTAACAAAGCAATGTTTAAAGTGAACAGTGTTCTTTATTTTCAAAATTATAGAGATCAGATTTCTTCCATATAGTACGGCAATATCTCTACCTCAGCTTTTTAATCCTATGTTCTATATTTGACAATTCTAAATTATTGTGCATTATGATATCACTGAGCACGTTTTTAAATTAAGCCCACTGTACTTTAAACCAGTGTTGAAATGAATAGGGACACACATATTCAGTGGGATCCAACGCTCTGAGAGCACTGGCTCATTCGTTGGATCTATGAAAAGACAAACTGGACAGCCTGTCTATGTTGTAGTGTTGTGAGGTAGGAAATACCTGACGTTCTGGGTGGGGTTCCACCTTTCAGAGGGCAGCTCCCCGCTCTGAGGGTCATCAACAGGAGGGTGCAGGATGGAGATGCACACATCTCCATTCTGGATAGAGAAAAAATATACAGTGTAACATCTGTCATGAAGAAACGACCTTTAAATGATGAATATCTCTTTGTTATTACCTCCATCAAGGAAGTTATTTTGTCATCTGTGTCTGTTTGTTTGAACTGATAGTAACATGTCAATCTTGATGTGAAAGATCTGACATAGGTAGAAGCTGAGTGTCAGTCTAGTAATGGCAAAGACTTAATGTTTCACCTCATAAATGTTGGGGTGCCACATCTTGGTGAGAAAGCGGAAGGTTGGTGGGGAGTATGGATAGTCAACTGGAAACTTGATGTGAGACTGGAGGAGCAAACAGAGGATGGTGGTTAAAATATGTGTTTACCAAAGAAGCAAAGCATCTTCCTGTACCTTTTCCTTTGAAATAGTCCAAACAGACAAAATTACATTAATCAATCAATCGCACCTTTTCGCTTATCAATAATTCCTAACAACGCTTAACAGAGCTGGACGTTATATGAAGTAACATGAGGTGCTTCTGGGGTTATTTTTTCTTGCCAATTTATTGCACAATCATCGAGATGAAAGGCTTGTAGGCTTGGGTGGGTATGTGTGTGTGTGTTTGTGTGTGCGTGTGCGTCTGTGTTTGTAACACCAGCCCATGCTTCCGACGAACTGCTGCCACTCAGATACGACTATCACCACTCCACAATTAGCCACTACACAACTGCAGCCCTGGGACGTTTAAAACACACTGTCATGTCAAACTGGCACAAGCTTCTCTTTTCATACTGTATATAGACAGTGACACATGCCAAAAGATCTTGTCCCTGTTACAAACACAGGGTTGTGCATGGTGCACTTTTAACTCCACTGTGCTACAGAAGCCATACAGGTCAATCAGAAGGCTGCACTTAAAGAAACAAGTTGTCAAACTATTGTTGTTACATGTACATAATGGTTGTGTTGTTTTTATATGTACACTTGATTTAATTATTTAAGTTTTCACTAAAACCAGCAATATGGAAAGGTTTCATTGTCAAACAAAAAGCTTCTTTAGCAAGATAAAACCATGCTTATTATTCTATTATTCCTTCTTCAACGTTAATGTTGCACATTTGATATGGTATTGGTGCTATATTATTATTTTTTATTACTAATAAATATATTATTTAAATATAAAACTTGGTGAAATTACTTCAGATTGTGTATCAGTTCTTGAACATTTCAGCTAAATTTAACAATGCTACAATAATAGTGACAATCGTGATACTGAATTTTCACACCTTTTCATCAATATATGATTATAATGTATATTAAAAATGATATATTGATGTAGTAATGCAGGCATCACAGTGAGGAATTTGCCTCAAAGTAGGATGGTCATGGATTAGAATGTATGAGAAGGCTAGATAAAAACAATTTTTTTCCCATGAATGTGGTTGTTTGTCTAAATTTTTTTGCTGTATATTATTTTGGAAACCTCTCAAGGTCGAATAGACCCCAGGGTCTAAGAATAAGGAGTTGACTATAGTGTAAAAACCCTCGGAAACTAACATGTGATACAAGGCTATAAAAAAACATGCATCTGACTTAACATGACAATAAAAAACTCAAGGACGCCAATGTAAAGGCTAAACATTAATAATTAAACAAATTAATCAACAGCGACCACCTACGTGAGTCGACAGCAACAACTGCTCTGTCTGATTTTGGCGTTCCTGGAGGGCTACAGCGACATCTGCATTGACCTGACTTGACCGCTGTGCTCTTGCTGTACGGCAGCCTCAATTTGGTGAATAAGTAATATTAAAAAAGAAAAGAAAGAGGAGTCTCATCATGCCCTTCTCTCTTACTCTTTCTCTGTGCTAAGATGCCATTTATATCAGTCTTGCAGCTAAAAATAGCCATCTGAGGCACAACCATTACACAGTGAGAGGGGACTGGGCTGGACAAGGAGAGAGGAGAGACAGGGGAGAAAGACAGAGAGTGAAAAAAAAGACATAAATAACCGCAGCAATTGACTCTAGGTTACACATATAAGACCAATGCAATCCAAACCTCTACCATAACTGAGAGGGTTTTTCTGACACTGTCAAAGAGGTGAGAATTTAACTGTAAGGTCATGGTTAGTGCCGGTTTTCCATTGGATAGGCGTTATGATCAGAGTAGTTTTTAATATTCGATGAGTGTAAATGGGAGGGAAAAGAACCTTTAACATAATGTAGTCCGGTACAACACCACCTTTAACTAAGACTTCTGTAATAAGCATAGAAATAAAATTAAACATTAATGTCTGACCAAAAACTTATCATAAACAGCATGAGCCTCTGAGTGTACTGTGTATCCCACAGTGATAAAACAACTTGCCCAGCAACACACCTGTAATATAAATATTACCTCTGTCAAGGACATTGTGATTTCATTGCTGTTTGTCTGTTTTATCACAGGTATATGCAAAAACTACAGAACAGATTCCATTGAAACTAGGTGGAAGGGTGGAGTATGGCCAAAGGAAGAACCAATTAACTTTTGGAGCAGATGTGATTAAAGGGGTAGATCCAGAATTAGTTTCCCACCTTAAAATAGCCCCCCTCGTACAGGGTGTTTGGGGGCCCGAAGATGGCCACCTCCCAGTTGTAGAGGTCTGACTCCTCCACCAGAGTGATGCGGAAGCCCTCCACCGGCTGATCCTGCAGGGACTTCAGCTCCATCATCAGGGCCTTCTGGGAACTTGGGGTTGCCTGGTGGGCCATGGTGATCCCACGTCTGACACCGATGACCACAGATCAGGGAGGAAGAGGAGGTAAAGAGAGTAATGGGAAAAAAATGAGCTTTATTACATTTTCAGCATTCTACTTTAAATGAATGCATGTTTTTTTTAATTTAATGGCAAGATTGGACTGTGCAGCAAACACCTGCAATGTGTTAGCTTTGTTTGCATTGACATGACTCTGGGACAAATAAGGAAGCCTGCACAGATCCCAGCCCTGCTGACAAGCTGAACCACACACACTGGATCCAAACACAGCCAGGATATGTGGCCTGCCAGGCTAGCTCGGGTCAGTGGTTCAGCTCGCCATCAGGCCCTCTATGGGAGAAAACAGCAAAGTTATGAAAAGTGTTTACCTCCGTCTCCTTGCACTGTGATATGGATTCGTTTGGTTACAGCTGCACACTGGAAGCTAACCTCACCGGCTGTCCATGCTAGCCTGGCTATGTCTTGACAAAGAGACAGTGACAGGAGCAGTGGGGTTTTCTGCTAAAGCCTGTGGCTGCTGCTGCTGCTCCTCGTGTTGAGCCTCGGATATTCTTTGTGTTGACAGTTGACATGGACCCTGGTATCAGTGTAAAGTCACCGTCTCCTGTGGATCATGCTGGGGGCTCCAGCAGAGGGGAGCCGCTCTCCCTGACACCGCTCCGTGCCGCTGGCTGGGTCCGGACCGCCGCTCAGCTGATCGCCACTTGTTTATGTTTGTTTATCTGCTCGGTGGCAGTCTCAACTTCTCCACACGTCAGCTAAACCCCTGCCGAGCAACTTGGTTGAAACGGAGCAGCTCGCCCGCTCCTCGCCGGCTCCTCCCGCACACTGGCAGCGCCAGAGGCCGATGATTTACGGCGAAACGAGCAGTAAGTGAGAGGTTTACACTCGCGAATTCAGGTGGATTTAATCGATTTTTATTTTCCTCCCATCGATGCTTCCGGCTATCATTGCGCGTGTCTGCAGAACGTAAAGCACGTACGCCTCTCGACGTGACGTGCGCGCACTCGACGCTGAACAAAATAAATAAATAACTTTGAAAACCTGAAAAAAACGTATTTGTTACACAGCATCTTGGTCGAAGAGCCATATTGTTTGTACATTTGATGATTGTTCAATTAAAAAAACAACACACATTTTACTTCCTGCTTTTGAAGTTTACTTTACTTCAAGTAAACCTAAGTTTAACTCTAAGTTGGCCCCATTGATTTTTTTGACCTAATAAAAAGTTTAGGAAGGTTATTCATATTTCAGTAAATAATATTTCACAATAATATCACTCTGTTAAGTGAGTTAAGATGTTTATTTAGAAAGTTTTACTGAGCTCAAGCTTGTTTTGCTGAAGAGATTAAATTGAATTAATTGCAATTCAATTTCACCAATATTACGTCAATGCTTATACTCATTAAAGGGGATAAATCAACCAACTTTCTTTCAAGGTTGGGAACGGAACATGATGTTAATCAGTCTTATAGTCAGACAACAACACACACACACACACAAACAAACACACACACACCCCTGTAGCTGCATATCAATCAGTCCTGTTTACATTGCACTATTGCACACTGCACTATCTGCACATTTTAAACCTGCTGTACATTTTTATAGCCATTGTTATTTGTATTTTTATATTTGTTTTATTTTGTATTGTTATTGCTGTTGGCTAGCAGAGAGCTAACAAACACAAGTTCGTTGTACGATAAAACCTCTTGAATCTTCATTACTTGTGTATTTTATCTAATACTAGCTCCCTTAAAATAAGAGTTGTGTGTTCTTCTTATTTTCCTGTTCTGCCTTAAATTCACCTATTGTTAAATTCAGGGAGTTTCAGAAGCATTTATTGATGAGATTCTAGATGAAAGGATGTTTGGTAAGCAGTGTGTCTGGACCTCTGGACCTCTGGACCTCTGCGCTGCTGACACCTTTGACTCAGCTGGAAGTGAAGCTCTGACGTCACGTAGGTGAGTGACGTCAGACAGGAACCAGTGGAAGGGAGCTTGACAAATCAAGATGGCGTCCCACGCCGAAGCAGCGAAGAGGTTTCCAGATAAATAAAGCTCATTGGGAGGACGGTCAGACTCGAGTGGCGCTTCGACAGAGACGTCGGTTGTATTTCGGCAGAACAGGACGGAGCAGAAACAGGTGAGAGCAGCGTGTGTTTCCTCCGGGACTCAGTTTCGTTTCAGGGGCGGTGGCAGCGGAGACAGCAGTCTGTCTTGTCCAGCTCCACAGCGCTTCTGCCAGGCCACGGCCGAGGCTCAGCGGGCTGGTGTGGACGGTAGCTTCTCCCCAAAAACATTAGCCAGTGGCTAGTGGCGCGTGTCGGTGAATAGACCAATCTTACTTTATGATTTTCCTTCAAATTCAACGAATGTCAAACCCGGCGTGGACTTCTTAGCCTGTATGTTTGCTGCTAGCGCTTTGAGCTAACAGTAACCAAAGATAGTGGTAGCTTAGCTTGGTGCTAATGGACGCTATCATAACTTATGTGATACTCGCTAATAAACATGTACCTCTGTGTGTCTCTTGGCAATATTACGAGCCACACGTGTCTGTCTGGAGCCTCGACATGTTCGCATTTATCGCAACTTTCCTGAAAATGTGACGAACTACAGTTACTGGTATTATTTCGCCATCGTTTTAAGTTAAGAACAGTTTCCTACCACCAAGACAGCGAGCTAACACTCCACCATGACGAGTTGTTTTGTGTTTTTCACTGGAACATTCCTCCTAGTTCGTCTTGATTGTGCTCTTATACTAAGTTAAAATAGCTGTGGAGAACAGAAAGTGACGAACTATTATATAACTCGATTTCCAAGTACTGTAAGCTACTATCAATAGGTTGACCACTAAAACAACATGAGTGAATGCTGAGGAGATCTGGCAGAGAGTGAAAGACCCACTGATCACAGAAGAGACAGAACAGTAGTTAGTGATAAGTCTGAAGACTCAACTCTCACGTAGACGTGTTGACTTGCCTGGTTAGTGTAGTACATGTCACCTGCCTGTGGGATGCACACTTATACAGATGTGTTCAGAGTAAAACGTTTTCACATGTGTGCACCTCTGACCTATGGTGGGAATAATCAGCAGATTGGTGTGTATTGCAAAATACTCATAGGCATTTAATGTGGGAATATTGCCAGAGGCTACAGACAGAAAACTGTTTTAATGTCTAATATGTCTTCAGTTTGACCATAATCAATCATATAATCATAATTTCAGCAATTAGAACCATGTTGTTGTTGTTTATTTTTTACTAATACACATAATGATGTTCTAATCTGAAAAGGTTTCAAAGGTTAGTAGTAAGTAGTAAATCTATTACTTTATGATTATCTTAACACAAAAGAAGCAGCACTAAAGCAGCTCCTGAAAACTCTTTGACAGACTAATCATGACTGAAGTTGAAACAAAGCTGTTAACCAAAAATATTAGGTTATCAGTTGCCTTTTGTTATTCTGTGCAAAAAACCTGTGACCCACACATGTCCAGTAGCCGTGCATCTGTGCAGTCATTTAGATCCATAATAGATTGAGTCATTTTCCTTTGAGCAAAAGTTTGATCCCAGAAATGTCTGAAAGTGCTTTGTGTCCCTTTGGCTTCATTGATGTGTAGATGTATTTGTCTATTTTAGTACTTTTTTGTGCTGGGTGGGAAGTGTACAATTGTGATTTTTTTTTTTTTAATGGAAATAGCTGGCTATAGTCCCGTGTGGAATTTGTGAGATTGGATTGTAATTTAATCAAGAAGCACATAATAGTAATCAGCTGTAGAGCTGGGTGTTATTTATATAATTATATATCAGTTATTTGAGCTTTAAGAAGTTTTTACTAACAAACCAGGCACTTCCCGTTGTATAAGTAATCAATGAATGTGGCTCTACATCAGACAGATCAGAGTTCTTTGTCAGCAGATGTGAAAACAGTGGTGTCTCTGTGTTGATAATGTCAGCCATTGTTGCACAGCATGACCAAATAATGAGATTATGTGATCTCAAATGCAAAGCATTGGAATTTACAAAGCCACTGAGGTAGTGATATAATTGGAACAGAAGGAACAGTTTGTACAACAATGTGATTTGGTCATTACTTGTGTGCTTAAATTAAAACTGTTCTGTATGACCAGTTTCTGAGCTCAATGAGTCAGGTAAATCAAAATTATTCAAATATCCAACAAAATTTCAATGACGCCTGGTGATAGTGCGACTGGGATAATTCACTTTAAGATGGTTTCAAACTTTGTGTATTGTCAACTCGATGCCAAATAGAAAATATATGACTTCTGCTCTTTATTAACTTTTCCCCACAGTTCTGTTTTCAGAGTCTCTAAATGGCTGCGAGGAAGTCTGGATCAGATGCATACAACAATGGTGAGGGCCTTCTTCTGTTTTGAGTTCTAAGTTAAGTTTAGCTTCATGATCTTGCCATTAGTTTCTATATCTAACACATAAGCACTTTGTTTTTCTACACAGGACCCATCAGCTACCTTGATGAAGTTCCCTTCAAGATTAATGAGAAGTTCCGCTGCCCAGCCAAAGTGGGGCTGCCTGTTGGTTTCTGCTTGCCTGACTGTGGCTCTTTGTTGGTGGACACACAGGTAAGATTTTCTACTGGTGTGTTCTGTGTCATGATGCACTTAAATGCTGACCTACAAATATATGGCACAGCTTATTATGGGCTCTCCCCTCAGTCCTGTATAGTGAAAGATATTTGTTGTCAGAAATAGTCGTGCCAGAAAGTCTCCTTGTGCCTTGCTTGTACTTATTTAGATGGAGAGATTTAGTCTACCAAATGGGGGATAATATGTTCCCTGAATTAATTTCATACCTGCCAGAAAAGTTGAAGTTCCTTTTATTTTTATTTCACTTTTTTGATGGTTTAACTGTTGAACTGGAGTTGTAATATCATGTGACTCTTGTATTCATAATTATTCATCCCAATTATTCATGCCCCCCCAACAGTATGATTTTTCTCTGGAGAGACGTAGCGTGCGGTGGGGGGTTGAACTGGCTGAGGCCAGAGCAGCAGAGGCCAGAGCAGAGGAGGCAGCAGCAGCCAAGCAAGAGGCAGAGAGCAGGGAGTGTTTGGCTCAGGCCCAGGACATTGATGGTGGTGGAGGGAAGAAACCCCGGTCAGCTGCAGATGACCAGGACCTTCTACCACCAGCGTTGAACCCTGTCTTGGCGGGGCTGAGCCATAATGCCATCCTCACTCCACTGCCTGCCCCAAGCCTTGGCCCCAGGAAAACCCAGCCTAGTATTCCGCAGCTGAACTGCCTCAACCTAGCAGACTTTGAGCGGGAAGAGGACCCCTTTGACAAGCTGGAGCTCAAAACTTTGGACGATAAGGAGGAGCTTAGGAACATTCTCCAGAGCCAGCCCCAACCTCAGCCGCCTCTCTCTGTATCCCCACCAGAGCTGTCCCAGATAGGGTCTGTGTCTCGAGGAAACAGCCCATCTCCTCCCAGCAGCAACACCAGCCTCCCAGCCAAACAAGGCTTCTCCCACAAACCCAACGGGTTGGTTGCCTTGCTGGACATGGACAGGGTTGGGCATCCTGGGAGAGTGGGATTTGACACAGATGACCGACCCTGTAACATCCGCTCTCTGACTTTTCCCAAGCTCTCTGATTCTGGTGACCCAGAGCCAGTGAGGTACAGCCCACTCCCTGCACCCATTCCTGCTCACAGAGAGAACCTCCCCAATGGAAGCCCTCCGACCATTCCCAAGGCCCAAGTTATTGTTGCCCCTGAGCCACCTAGCCACATAAAGAGTGGTACACCTAAACAGGTGAGTATAAGAGTGCAGACTGCTTGTATGACAAATTCTATACGTATAGATTTTTGTGGTACACCATTTCAGAGTAAAGCCTAGTTTATGCTTCTGCGTCGCGTCGACGCCGTAGCCTGACGCGCACTTACTTTACGGAAGAAAAAGCGAGGATTCGGCTATAACCACACAAACACACAGCCACACCCCCCTATGGCGGTGAATTGCAGAGCAACGCGTTCCCTCGACGCAGAACTTCGAATGCTCAACGACTGCGTCACGTTGACGCCGTAGGTGCGCCGTCGACGTGACGCATAAACTAGGCTTAAGATCCAAGATGTTTATTGTCATTCCATACCATAGAGTAGACCTACAAGAATGGTTCACATGTCCGCGTCCCAAAAGTGAAGTCAAAGCGTCTCAATCACCACCTGTTGACTGGCTGCAGTTTAGGTCATAAACACCATACTCCTATGTTAGTGAATGGGAAATGAGCCAAACTAAAAAGTCAATGTTCATTACAAATGATTATTTCCCAAAGATGGTTTCTGTCATTTTAGCTAGGTCTTATCACACTGATGTTTGTACAATTGCTCATTGCTTATTTTATACTTGTAAATCAGGATGAAATGTCATGATTGACAGCAGAGACTGACCATTAGATAAAGATAGGTAGTTTAGTAGTGAGAAAGAAGACTCAATAAAGATTAAAGGAATAAAAAGAGATGGTGAGTGAGAAATATCATTGATGTATTTACTTTGTTTTTTACTAGACTAACCCAGGATCAGGATCCGCTGGTCTGCCGTGTGGCGGGGCCTTGCTTAGCATGACTCCCAGCGAGCGTCAATGTGTGGAAACCCTTGTAGGCATGGGATACTCCTATGAGGGTGTCCTACGGGCCATGCAGAGGCAAGGACAAAACGTGGAGCAGGTGCGATTCCCTCTAACCCCAATGCACAGACATCTGGATTCCTAGCTTACTCTCTCTCTCCTACATGCCTAACAATTAATTGTGTTTGCTTCTGTGTTTGTTTTCAGTGAAACATCAATCCCGTACATCTGTAAATGAAGCCTTAAATTGAAATAAAGTTGTTGCATTGCACAGTCTGTTGTCTCAAAGGTTATGGGAATGGATCGGTTTCTGTGATATGTGCAGCTAATATTAAACAATATTACTTGTGCAACCATTGTTCAATGTATGAAAAGCAGGAAATATTGGGTAAAATAAAAGCAGAGTGTAACGAGTTCCACAGGGTTGGTATGCCAGTTTTAAATTGTACCAACTGCATTTCAAAGATTAACCAGCAGTGAGCATCACTAACTAATAACACATCAGCCATATACGCCACAAGAGGGCAGTAAATTAACCTTACAAAACATTGAAATCATCAAATTTCAGTCTATGATAGAATTTTTGATTGTTTTCACAAAATAACCCTAGAAACCTCACATTGATCTTTTCTTTGTCTTCTATGTAGTGTTTAATTTAGCCAATCAATGTAATGACTAAAGGAGATGCATTTTGAATATATTTAACTTATAATAATAAACTAATATATTAATATAATAAACTTGGAATTACTGTTTGTTTAAGGTACTGGATTATCTTATTTTATCTGGACGTCTGTGTGATCGGGGCTTTGATGCAAGTGCAGTGGCGGAATGTTTAGAGATGTACCAATGCTCAGAGGAAAAGGTCTGTACACTTTGTTCTTAGGTAGCTGAACATTTGAAAAACATGCCTTGTGTGATATTGCTTCAATACACTGTGTTAATTATTTTTGTGTAAGTTTAAATTACATACATAGATCATATGATATATATATATATATATATAGTAGTATTATGTTTTTTTCTTTCCAGGCCTTGCAGTTCCTTGAACTAATGTCAAGATTTGGTGAAATGGGATTTGAGCGGGACGCCATCAAAGAGGTGCTGCTGGTCCACAACAATGATCAGGACAAGGCTCTAGAGGACCTGATGGCTCGTGCCACAGGCAGCTGAGCCAAGCTAACCAGCCAAACGGAGCCCAGCCCAGGGCTAGCTTCCCGCCACCACCTGACACAGCCTCCTTCCTTCTGCCTACCCTGTCACACCATGCCCTGTCCTTGGCTGTGGAAGGGACAGCTGGGAAACAGTTGTTTTTCTCTCTGTGCTTAAACGTATTGTGTCTCAGCACTTCTTAAAGACGGTGTGCCTAGATTGGAGGGGGGTTGAAGTGTAACAATTCTTCATGGTGGAGGTTTCTTTTGGTTTTTGAGAAATACTGGGCTCCAGGATTTGGTACCGTTTGATTATTCAAGAACGACTGAGCTTTGATGGAGAAACTGGAAGAAGTGGGCTGTGGTGTTTTTGATGCCATTCTGATTTGCTTCCACTTGGAAGTGTTTATATTTCTGCTGGCAAAGCTTCAGGACCGAACGGGGAGCCGGTGACACTTAGTGCACACGGACAGACCAGTTTGAACTCTTGAAACTCCCAAACAATTAAGCTGCCATTTTCCACTGATCAGTGCAGTTCTAGTAAATGGTGGATGGGATAGGGGGCCTGAGGAAGCTCTCTTCAAACTGAACCAACTAACATTAAAAGAATTTAAAAAAAATTAAGAAAGGAAGAGGAAAAAACCCAGGCAGTCACCAGACAGAGATATGACTCTCTGGAAGTGCCCTCTCTGCTCTGGTGCCCTGCAACTAGCTCTGTTCGACTCAATGCTTTCATTCATTCATGTCTGTTTTCCTTTTCATTTGAGCACTTTTTTCATGTCAGTTCAAAGATTCCATTTCGTTGCTTTCTGTTTTGGGAACTACATAATTGAGCTTTAGTCATTATAACTTAGAACATAAAGGATACTACTGCCCCAGTGTTGCTCTTTGACTTGCACTGGAATGGCCTGTTGAAGGAGTGGGGAAGTTCCTCTGCAAGAGATAAGAAATATCCCATAACCCTCTGGCACTGTGGTGTCCCATACTGCACACACGTTTCATAATTATCAACTTATTTAAAACAGTACACTGACACTTTCATTTAAGAATTGCAGAGTTTGATATGTTGATGTAAGATATGTTAACTTACAAAAGTGATGCTCTTAACTTTCATGGACCTCTGTTTGCAGACTGGAAAAGAGTGAGTGGTTTAACAAGAAACAAAATGTAAGCGAGGATTTTTCCTGCAGCCTCATTACGGTGCAATAGAGATATTTCATATTGTGTGACTGTTTGACATTTTGAGCCGCAAGTAAGTGTTGGGAGGTCAGGAAATTATTTTCAAGCCTTGCTGGACATTTGGATGTAACCAGAGAAAGGTTTTGATTTCAGTGGTTTCTATCATTTATTCTCTGTTATTGGATTTCATGACACAAAATCGAATCAAACATGACTTTAAATTTGTTGACTTGTCCACTTTTTTTCTCATGGAAATGTGAAATGAGAGTTCATCTTGATTTCATGTGTGTTAGCATCTCCACGGTCTTAAATGTAAAGTTAAGTCACCACATGCCAAAAGTGTTTTCACACGTGTCGAGTGGGTGTCATCCTTTGTTTTTTATAGTGTGAACCTATATGTTTAGAAATAATGTCTGCTCAGCTGCACCAAGGGGCAAAAATGGCAGAAGTTTTCATAATCTTGAGCTCTTGTGGTACTGATGACAATTAAGAGAGACTTGGTAACAGATTAAGGGCTTTAGGTTGGCAAAATGTGACTTTGAGAACTGGTCCTTAGTTTAGAGCTGGGCTAGTCACTTGTTATCTGCTTTACAAATGCAAATAGAATATTTTTTAATTTCTGAGGAATTTTACAAAAGCCCGGGTGTTTGGTACATTAAATTATTGTGCAGTTTATTGTCTATTCAGACATCACTATTTGTTTGATTGGAATTATTAGCGACCACGTGATTGCGGAATGCCCATTACCACTCAAACCAGAGGGATGAGCATGTGCTTTCAGTTAAATTAAAACAGCCTGGCTAGTTTATCCAAGCATCCTGAAAGTAATATCACAAAACTCCCCTTATTTTCTTAAAAGTGTGTTAGTACATTTTAATTATATGTCTGGTGCAGGCAGATGTGACATGAGTAAAGTGTCATGTTTCACATAATCTCTGTACTTCAGCCAAGTCCTGTATGTTCTACACCATGATTGGCATATACGTGTTGTCACCAATTACCTTCTGTTTTAATTTACTGTGATAAAGGAGAGCATCATTCTTACCTCACAGATTATGACATGAGTGGTGTTGTCGTCTTCATACACAACTCAAGTTTGGTTTTGTTGATCTTACGAAAGCATAGTTAATGTCCACTTGCCTCTCTTGCTCTGGCAGCCACAGAAGTTTGGCTGAGATCAGTACAGCAGGTTCTGGAGCTTCTGCATCAATGCCCCCTTCCACCTCTGTTGTGACCTTTCAGTTTTGTGGGGATGAAGTGCAACTAGGTTCTTATTATTTAAGGGGTTGCATTTGAAGGTTTATTTATCAGATCCACTTCAAGTCACCTCGTAGTAGAACACTGTGGGCTGTAATTCATCAAATTAACATTGATCTTAATAGTATAAAGAAAGGTGGGTGAAATGAGTGTTTGTTCCCAAGCTACTCAAACAATTGCAAAACGTTAATTTTCCTTTTGGATCATCTGGAAAATCCACATGATTAAATGTGCACATCTTTTTAAGTGGTGAGACTCAGTTCTTGCTTTTTGAGCTTCATTTTCTAATAGATATTTCACAAAACTTTAAATGTGTAACATGGAGCTAGTGAAGAAATGCAATTGTCCTGCTCCTCATTTTCTCTTCTACAGCAAATGCAGCTTTTAGTTCTGTTCATTTGAGAAGATAGCCAAAATACAGATGACGATCCATCCACGTTAATTCAGTGAGAACTGCAAACCTCCAGCTGTGCAGCCTAGTCAGCAGAAAAAAGATGAATATGCATAAGAATAGAGACAATATTTGCCCTGCCTGTGCTTACCAGGGTAAATAATCTCAGACAATTACAAAGTACCTTTTAATGGATCATGATCATGATGATTTCAGATTTCCACATCAGGCATGTGTCTTTGCTCATGCAAATGATGGCCATCTTAAGAGAAAGCCCAGTTTAAGAAGAATTTATGATTCAAATGTGTGATGTCTTCTGTTGACCTTCCAAAACTGCTCAGGTTGCTTGTGAAGCCTTATATGCTCACAGTTGACGTCACGTTGAGTGATGAATAATGCGTAACAATAGAATAAT